GAGTCTTGTCCTTGTTCTGATCATGTTTACCTGCACACAGAGGAACCAGGTCATTCATGTCCCTGTTTACATGATAAATACTGGTACCCTGCTTTATGATGACTAAATCTTATCCGTGCAGGCGCCTGTGATGGTTTTTGTTTTTTACAACACAAACTGCTGCAATTTACAAATCAGAGAAAACAGAGACCGCTGAGGCTTATCGCAAGCTTAGCATTATTAGACGCTAACATGGCGTTGCAGATATGGCGTCTCCACCTCATTTCCAGCAACAGGAGAAGAGAGCGACAGCAGATATCAAACAGGTCGTCATCTCTGGGTCAACCTGTCGCACCGTCACCGCAGACGACAAAGCAGCAGTTGGTGAAGAAGAAGTAAGATGTTCTTATTTTTGCCGCCATTTTTGTTTTGCTGATACGTTGATATAAGAAAAATATGCAATAACAATGTTCAACACTGAGATAAACAAACAAAAATAAAGACTATATATTAACTCATATTTTCTGTGTCTGACTGCTCTTAATGTTTCCTGTGTTTGCAACATGTCGCTTATAAATCCTAAAAAATATTTTTTTCCCCTCCACTAAAAGAAGCTAATTGTTAGCTTTAGCTTCATCTAGCTGCATCAAAATTACAGGACGTGGCTCCTTCATGTCTTCATGTTTTCTTTAAATTAAAGGGAATGTTAAACACACCTAACAGACATTACTGAGGGAAGGTGAAGTGAACTATCGTAACCTGGCAACAATGAGCGGTGCTGAGAAACGCTCTGGAACCGAGGATGTGGGCGGAGTTTTAAAAAATCCCCTCCCCCGTACAGTGTGTGTCCATCCAGACATGAGCTAATCACACCTATTTGGTTTTTTGAACCAGGCTGTAAACATGTTCATCTCTGCTGTAAAAACAGGCTTTTTAGAATGGGTGTGTATGTGACTTCCTGTGTTTCTGCAGCCAGCCTCTAGTGGACACTCCAGGAACTGCAATTTGTGGCTCCTTTCCTTTCCCACATTCCCCGCTTTCTCTCTCTCTCTCTCTGTCTCTCTCTCTCTCTCTCTCTGTCTCTCTCTCTCTCTCTCTCTCTCTCCTGTCTGTCTCTCTCTCTCTGTCTCTCTCTCTCTCTCTGTCTCTCTCTCTGTCTCTGTGTCTCTCTCTCTGTGTCTCTCTCTCTCTCTCTCTCTCTGTCTCTCTCTGTCTCTCTCTCTCTGTCTGTCTCTCTCTCTCTCTCTGTCTCTCTCTCTCTGTCTCTCTCTCTCTGTCGCTCTCTCTCTGTCTCTCTCTCTCTCTCTCTCTCTCTGTCTCTCTCTCTCTCTCTCTCTCTCTCTCTCTGTCTCTCTCTCTGCTCTCTCTCTCTGTCTCTCTCTCGCTCTCTCTCTCTGTCTCTCTCTCTCTCTCTCTGTCTCTCTCTCTGTCTGTCTCTCTCTCTCTCTCTGTCTCTCTCTCTCTGTCTCTCTCTCTCTGTCGCTCTCTCTCTGTCTCTCTCTCTCTCTCTCTCTCTCTCTCTCTCTCTCTCTCTCTCTCTCTCTCTCTCTCTCTCTTCTCTCTCTGCCTCTCTCTCTCTCTCTCTCTCTCTCTCTCTGTCTCTCTCTCGCTCTCTCTCTCTCTCTCTCTCTCTGCACATACTCATTGACCGTGTTTTTGCCTTCTGCCTAAGTGTGTGTGTGTGTGTGTGTGTGTGTGTGTGTGTGTGTGTGTGTGTGTGTGTGTGTGTGTGTCTACTTCCATGGAATTCCCACTTAGCATGTGACACTCCCACATTTGGCCTCACAGAGGATTTGAATACCGGTTGAAGGGCTGCAGTCAGACGGAGTGGAGATGAAGGGATGAGCTGTGACAGGATGAACGGTGAGTAAACTAGCTCTTTAAAGTTTACACTAACTTCCTGCTAACGACCAGTTCTTTAGACCAGAGTCTGAAGTGATAACGACAACGGTTGTTTTATTTTGCCGGCTCAGAAAAGTCTTTAAAGACAGAGTCAGTATCCTGTTTCCTTCAAAATAAAATACAGTCTTCTCCTAAAGTGAAGCTGCTCCATCGTCCCTTCTGGACCTCCGTACATGTGGTGGTGTCTGTGTTCTGGTTGACTCGGGACATTTGTTGACGGAGCTGGTGTGTTTCCTCCAGCCAATGACAGAGCAGCAGGTGAGTTTATCAGTGGATACAATTTAGTGATTGGACGCCATTCAAACCGGTTAGCTTGTGCTAATGTGTGTTAGCTTGCAGTGGTCTTTAAGTGTCTATAAGTGAGAGACAGTTAACATCAAACACTTTAATTAAATCACATGACCTAGTGTAGCTCATGAGTTTGAGAAATGTTGAGTTTTCAGGATGTTTAAAGTTTCTCTCCATGACGACCGAGTTTGAGGTCAAACTTCAGAGTAAACCATTTTTAGCGAGTTTGTAAACACGAGGCAGCGAGGAGGGTCGAGGTCGGACAAACTGAACTCAAGTGTTTGTACCTCTGAAGTAAACCTAACCCAGAAAACACTAACCCCTTCATCCC